GTTAAAGGCTGGTATCGCACAAGTACTTTTATACTAATTTACAAGTAAAACTGCGAGATACAAATAGAAATATAAAACTCTCTCTGTTTATAGTAACGGTCGATTGGTAGTGAATGCCATCAGGCATTAATAATAATAATAATAAATTTTATTTCAGACTTTTTGGTCCATTAAATATTTATTAGTAAACAATATTCTTAAAAACTAATGTTAGTAAATTTACATACACAATACACATACACACATACAATATATTAAGCAGTATACAGAATATATATCACCGCTGCACAATTCCATTGGAAATTGCACAGCAGCGACTAACGTACACACAGTGCAGCCTGCTCGCCATCATACTCAGGATGCTGTTGGCGTTGGTACGTACTCTGTGCACCAGGGATGCACACCTTTTTCGCATCGTGGCATAAAAACAATCTACACGATGCTCTGCGAACATTCCTGACGCGCTGCAGAATCGCGGCAGCCAAATCAACACCCTGAACGCGTTATTATATTGGATACGAATTAAGCCCGCCCTGTACACATATTCTAATGTGTGCAAAAATATAAATCTGTATATATACTTATAATAAATCTGTAGAGAGGTCAATTCTGTACATGAAATATATTTGCAAAACAACTATCAGGCGGTGATTAGTGATCGATACTGATGCCAAAAATGCAATCAGTAAAATTTTTGTCTGCCCGTCTGTATGTCCGTTATAGAAACAAAAACTACTCGACGGATTTTAACGAAACTTGGTACAATTATTCTTCATACTCCTGGCCAGGTTATAGTATACTATTCATCACGCTACGATCAATAGGATCAGAGCAGTGAAAGTAAATGTTGGGAAAACGGGAGAAGTTACTCCATTTTTAAGCTTCCGTCGCGTGTGCAGCCTTAATGGCCACTTTTTAAAATGTAAAAATGTCCACCCGCGCGACGCCGGGTCGGGCCGCTAGTAAATAAATAAAATACAACCAGTTAATATTGAGTAAATTATAAACACAAATAAAGAGGAAAACTCGAGGCCGCGAGCACAAGTTCGCCGACATTATATTAAGGCGCAGTGCGAGGGAAATAAAAACTGAAAAATGTGAAGCTTCCAATAAAAGTTGTACCGAATCCTGAATCCAACTTGTGGGCAGGGCTGCCCCAGATGAGAATTTCGATTATTACCCAAACTACAAATGTTATACTTCAAATCATTAACCAGGCATAGTACGATTTATCGACCACCTAGGTAATTGGAGTTTTATAGTAAACTTTGTCTTTGTTTTTAATTCATAAAACCTTTATTTGATTACCAATATTTGTATCTTTCGTATGAAGCTAAACATTTTTTACTAAACAATTCATTTTGGAAAAAATCGTTATTAAAAAAAAGTGGTCATTATATGCCCTGTACCCGTCTGGTGGTAGTATGACATGGACACTGTTACCATTATACAAGAGATGATATTGAAATGAAAATATAATTGGAAATTATTAGGTTTTTTTATAACAAAAATAACATTCTATTTTTTTAAAATGAATTAATTTAATCGTTGATTAAAAACTAGGGATAATGGAAACAAATTCTAAAACGACAGAGAGCTCCTTAACAGGCATAGTGCATAATACGACCACTTTTTTTTTTCTTTTAATTTTAATATAAGAAACAGATCTTAGGTATACATTGCACAGGTAAATATACCATATTTACAAATATGTTTTAATGCCAGTGCACATGAGGCCTGATTATGGGTTAAGGTTTCTAGCACTTTTACTCTATTAGAAACACTTATATCGTATTTTTGCCATGACAAAACTGTTCATGTGTATGAAAAGATTGATGGATGTGGAGGAAGCGAAAGAGGTTTGTTTGAATCGAAGCATTTGGCGTTCCATTGTTTCTGCCTACCCTAATGGGAGACAGGCGTGACAGATATGTATGTATGTATGTATGTAAAACTGTTCAATAACTAAATTAGGTTTATGAGAGGTGTGACAGGCGGGTTGGCAACCACAGTTGGGTTTTGGTAATCTTTTAAGAGGTAGGTAGTAGCGTCTACTACCTCTTGATTATTAACTTTCTTAGTCGCCTCATACGATACCCACCGGAAAGGAGGAGTGGCCCATTTTATACCGGATCCCCACAGCATTACATACTTTACAAGTACCAGAGGGACACTTTGTACAAAAGTCGATTGCTTAGGAACCTCTGTCCCATTCGTGTTTCAACCGTGAAGCAGTTGTGTTTGCATGGCTGTGTTTCGGTTTGAAGGGTGGCATATGGCGTGAAATTACTGGGTACAGAGGAATAACACCTGAGTCCTCAGGAATGGCAACGCATGGGGGGTATCATGGGCGAAACAGTATACTCTGTTATGTCCACGGTACTGTTCATTTCTATAGGCGACGGTTACCACTTTCCATCAGGTGGGCCGTCGGCTTGTTTGCCATTCTAAGTTGTATTAAAAAAAAGTACTAAAACCGTTTAATAAACTACTCAATTTTCTCCAAACCCATTTTACTTTATTCTAAAAATTTTTAAATCAATGTAACGTCTTCAAAACGTCGCGAAGAATTTTTACCAACAATTGGGGGAAAATAACCAATCTGGCAATACCGCTTGTAAGGAATACAAGGGAATTTTATAACAGTCAGGGCTGCCGCTTGTTACGGAATACTGGAATCGCTTTTTTATTGGAATTATTTAAAACTAGCGTTCACCCGCGTCTTCGGTCGCCGTCTCATCCTGCTACACGTACTTTTAGAGTTCCGTAAAAAATGGTACAAAGGAATCCTTATGGTGTTGCCTTATCTGTCCGTTTGACTCAGTGCTGTATCTTTGGAATAGTTTTCCATATTACTGGCCCCATACATATTGTAATGGAAATAAATGAAAAATGTTTTTATTATTTTTTTTTAGTATAATTCTTTAGGGGAAAATTCTGAAGAATGAATCACTTACCCCTATTACAGGCGGTTTTTTTTTAAAGTGATAATGGAATATGTATTGCCACTCTATTTTCACCCTTTCGCCTGCGCTATTGGTTTCTATTCTTTGGGGGGAAGGGGTTGTTTTTAATGGGGATTTTTTTTGATAGGTGAAAATGGTATGGTAACCCGGCCTGCGCTAACGGGATACGCTGGCGGGGCACCAGTGAAGGGTGATAGATGAGAATGAAAACAGGCCAGTTAGCCCATCATGATAAATTCATCAGGAATTAACCATTATAGTTTCCAGGGGGAACCGCGAGGAGGTCTACCTGGTTGGGTATATTGCTAGCAATGGGATTCTCAGTCTCCATTATTAACAATCCCTTTCCCCCCTTTTAATGGGGATTAGCGAACCCATTATTAGGGTGGGGGTGGAATTGTTAGTAATACAGGCTTTTAGTTCCTTTCTTTTTAGGACTGTCAGGTCGATCTCCACGTGTTCCCCCTGGAAACCATAATGTTAAATTCCTGGTGTATTCATTAGTGCCTTTTCATTTTCTAATGGATTAATAACCCCGCCTGCGTTATCGGTATATGCTGGCGGGGACCAGGGAGGGATGATAGGTGAGAATGACAAGGCACCAGGAATTTAGCACGATGGTTTCCAGGGGAGGCCACGTGGAGGTCAACCTGACAGGGCATATTGCTAGCAATGGGATTGGTAGTCCGCATTACTAAGAATACCTTACCCTCAACTGACGGAGTTTTTTTACGGGTGATAATGGTATGGTAACCCCGCCTGCGCTAACGGGATACGCTGGCGGAGCACTAGTGGAGGGTGATATATGAGAATGAAAATAGGCCAGTTAGCACATCATGATGAATTCATCGGGAATTAACCATGATAGTTTCCAGGGAGAACCACGTTGAGGTCGATCTAATAGGGCATATTGCTAGCAATGGGGCTGTCAAACTCCATTGCTAACAATCCCTCCCCCCACCCCCAACTGACGGAGTTATGTAGTAGCAAACATAAAAAAATACAACCGATTTGAGAACTTGTTTCCTTTTGAAGTCACTTCAAAACACATTCGTTGGTTAAATAAATGAGGTGATGAACACATATTATGTAATATCACCTCAACAGCGCGTCCTCGAGTGTCCTACATTCGACAAGTACGTACGTACTACATAAAGCTCGGAGTGGGCGCGCCGCCGGATGTTCCGGAAATTTCTAACGCAGTTGTCACACTCACGACGAAGGGCGAATCGTGCCGAGGGGCGAACCGCGCCGAGGGACGAATCGTACCCATCAATGTATGTGTATTGATTGGTGAACCGCTGATTGTGACTTTAACTTAATGCTTATTGTATCCCCCGGCATTGCCTTTCTTTTTAACATCTGGAAAATGCTTTATGCAGACCCATACACCTTGTGGGAGGTGAATAGGTACTGTGGGAATCCCCCGTAAGGTGGGGGTGTACCCACCAAAAACCAGACGATATACCCTCGAGGTGCCATATGTCGGAGATATGGGTTCACTTGCACTCACCACATCTCCGACGGCAGCGACCCGCCCCCAGATGGTAAGAGCAGGTCTCCTCTCTCAAGATAGGGTGGATGGCGTGCTCACCCTACCACTCGGGGGATGCGCCGGTATATTACAACATCCCCCAGGATCCCCCGGCATTGCCTGCTTTATATCTGCCATTAAACTGCTGGACATAGGCTTCACCCGTAAGGCGGATTGTGCCAATAGTAGTCACGCCTTACAGACGTGTTGGCAACCGCAGTTTGGCTTTTGGTGATGTTTAAATGTTGTGATCTTCTGTTGTAATTGTTTATGCTCTGTCTCTTTTTTATCCTGATAAAAAAAAAATATACCCAGTACTTACCTTTTTTTGAACATGGGGAAATCCATTATGTAGATCTATACGTCCCGAGGGAGGCGTATGGGTAAAGCCGACTTCTACCTGCTAAAATAATCACTAAGTTGTATAAAAAAAAAAAAAAATAGTAGTAGAATGAAGTGTTTTGTATTTCATTAATATGATATTGTTATTCTTGTTACAGGTAATAATTGTTTTTATACTCAAAACAAGCCGTCGCTACGTTGAAGTAATATGGTGGTATGTACTGTTATTCAATATCTTCAAAGTAAATTAATTTATTAAATAATAGTAATTATCATGTACACACACACACACACACACACACACACACACATAAAATTTACAGAAAAGTAAAACATGTCGAATATAAAAGGTCACAATTGGCTAATACATCGTATATACTGTTATTTTACACTAAGTAAAAAAAATATTAAATTACGGCGAGTGATGGGCAGCAACGTCCCTCTTAAAACATCTCTAAAGCCTGACTGCTGTTGCTAATCCGCGTGCCAAGCGTGACAACTACGGGCAAGCCCCCCCCCCCCCCCCCCCCCCCCCCCCCAAGGAGAGGCTTATGTTCAGCAGTGGACGGTTAAAGGCTGGTATGATGAAAAAAAATATAAATAAAATATTAATGAGAAGTAATACAAAGACCAGCCTTATAGGTAAGCAATCTTTGCATTTCTAGGTATTAAATGCGTGGCATTACACATAACAACTTTGAACTGTTCCATTGAATCCGTAACACCTGTTTCATTCCACAACCGACCGCATCGACCTTACTAAACACGGGACATGCTCCTCTCCTTTCTAGTATACAGAGTTACCCTGTGTTAGAAAGAGATAGCAACTTATCTCTACCTGTTATGTTACACAGAATGTGCTCTTCTTGCATCTAGCATATGGAGTTAACCTATGTTTTTTTTGATGGGTGAAAATGGTACGGTAACCCCGCTTGCGCTAACGGGATACGCTGGCGGAGCACCAGTGAAGGGTGATAGATGAGAATGAAAACAGGCCAGTTAGCCCATCATCATGAATTCATCAGGAATTAACCATGATAATTTCCAGGGAGAACCGCGAGGAGGTCGACCTGTTTGGGTATATATAATAGCTAGCAATGGGATTCTCAGTCTCCATTACTAACAATACCTTTCCCCCCAGTTAACCTATGTTAGAAAGAGATAGCAGTCTCTGCTCTAGAAAAGTCTTTTATCTTGAAACGATATAACATAATGTTATTTTGGAAAAGGTGCAATTATTATTTCAGCCATTAACCGTCCATTGCTGAAAATAGGCCATTCCCAAAAGGGGAATTTCCTAAGTAGTTGCTATGCTTGTAGCTATGCTAACCCACCTGGGGGTTTAGCATACCATTTTCACCCATCAAAAAAAAAACACCTGGGGTTGGAAACCGCAGTTGGCATTTAGTGATGTTTTTTAAGAGAGACGCTGCTACCCATCCTTCAAACATTAGGTTCACTTAATCGTCTCTTACTATACCCACGGGAAAGGAATGGGCGGTCCATTCTACGCCGGACCACACGGCCACGGTGTTCCAATATTGTTATTTGTTTATACTGAAAAAAAAAAACATGTATAATAAATCCCTTATTTTACCAGTTTTAAACCACTTCTGGTAGGGGGAAGGGATTGTCAGTAATGCGGACTACCAGTCCCATTGCTAGTAACTTATCCCGTCAGGTCGACCTCCACGTGGTCCCCCTTGGAAATCACCGTGCTGAAGTCCAGGTGTATTTATCACGATGGGCTAAATGACCTTCTCTTTCATATTCACTTATCATCTCTCGCTGGAGTCTCACCAGTGTATACCGAGAGCGCAGGCGAGGTTACCATTCCATTATCATCCATTAAAAAAAATTACTTCTGTTAAGTATAATAATAAAAAAAAGTCGTTTATAAAATGATATAGCGCTGTTTAATCGATAGATTCGACTACAAATGTCACGTGTCTGCGATATCCGGTGCGGGGCGACGGATCGACGCGGCCGCGCCGCGCTCCGCGGTGAGACGGGTGCCTCACTTCCGCGACCTGTATGATAGGCGGGCATAGGAATAAATAGGCTTTTTGATACACACACACACTCACACACATATATATATATATATATATATATCGACATCGAAATCTATTTCAATCATATACATTTATACAACTTAGAATAGCAAACAAGCTGACGGCCCACCTGATGGAAAGTGGTAACCGACGCCTATAAATATGAGCAGTACCATGGACGTAACAGAGTATACTGTTACGCCCATGATACCCCCCATGCGTTGTCATTCCTGAGGACTCAGGTGTTATTCCTCTGTACCTAGTAAATTCACGCCATATCCCACCCTTCAAACCGAAACACAGCCATGCAAACACAACTGCTTCACGGTAGAAACACGAATGGGACAGAGGTGGCCAAGCAGACGACTTTTGTACAAAGTCTACCTCTGGTCCCTATATATTACCGATCTCTAGTCTGTATTCTCGACAGTGGCTGCTTTTTTTACCTTTTACAAAAAGTACCAATAAACCCTGAGCTCTCGGACGCGAAGATAGTAGTGAAATATTTTAAAAACTAAAACAATGGGGACAGAAATATAGACAAAGGTGTACAGAAGTGAACTGGCGACCTGCATTCAAATAAGTGCACTGTAGTATAGATAGATAGATAGATACTCTTTATTGTTTCCTACAAAAGATTACAATAATAAACTTACGTATTAACACGAAGGAAAGAGAAGAATTCATGCGCCACTTTAACTTAAATAAATTGAATGTTGGTCTTATTCAAACTATGTTAGCTGAACTTAAACCAGACATTTTTGAACATCTGTGTAAATTATTGAAGCCCATTAATTCTTTTCTTTCCGCGTCTAGGGAAGGTAGATAAAGTTTTGTTGGAGAAATCAGTTCAGGGTACAATAGGACTGATATACCTGAAGAAGGTAAAAGCCCTTAAAATATTTAAAAAAAAAAAAAAAGAAATAATCACAATGAGAAAACAATAGGCTAAGAGTCTATTTGTAGGTTTTTTTTTTTATGGGTGAAAATGGTATGGTAACCCCGCCTGTGCTAACGGGATACGCTGGCGGAGCACCAGTGAAGGGTGATAGATGAGAATGAAAACAGGCCAGTTAGCCCATCATGATGAATTCATCAGGAATTAACTATGACAGTTTCCAGGTGGAACCGCGAAGAGGTCGACCTGGTTGGGTATATTGCTAGCAATGGGATTCTCAGTCTCCATTACTAACGATCCCTTTCCCCCCAACAAAACATATATTTGTAGGTTGGTGCATGAGCTATATTCAGATCACTGGAAGGATTAACTCGTTTCTTTTCACGGCTTTAAAACACGAGGAGATTTTTAATTCGGCTATATTTTTCTATGTTTACCATTTACCATGCTATTATAGACGACAATTGTCCACTGCTGAAGGTAGGCTTCGCCCTATTGGAGGGGGGGGGGAGGGGGGGGGTTCCCAGTAGTAGCCACGCTTGGCAGATGGATTGGCAACCGCAGTTAGCCCTTAGTGGTGTTTCAAACGGGACGCTGCTGCCCGTTCCTCGAACATTTTTTTTTGATCGCTGAAAATGGTATGGTAACCCCTGCCTGCGCTAACGGGATACACTGGCGGAGCACCAGTGAAGGGTGATAGATGAGAATGAAAACAGGCCAGTTGGCCCATCATGATGAATTCATCAGGAATCAACCATGATAGTTTCCAGGGGGGTCCACGTGGAGGTCGACCTGGTTGAGTATATTGCTAGCAATGGGGCCCTTAGTCTCCATTATTAACAGCCCCCCCCCTGCGTATACCTATATATATACTGGAATTCATTAACAGTTAACCGCAGAGTGGTTTTCGAAGGGGACGTAGTTGGGTATAGAATCCCCCCCCCCCTCTTCCCTCCAAGGTTGTGCTATATATTAGTAGTAAAGTAATTATAAATCCAATTAATATTCCATCAAATATACCATATTCGAACTCGTTTCCGGATATTAAATGCCACATCAAACGAACTCACAAACAAAACTGGGCCAAAACACAACAAAACTCGAACCAATATTCAATGGACAGGCGCCTCTCTACCAATGGAAAGCTCACCTCTCTACCATGAAATCACTTTCAATTTTAAAGACAGACAGAGGAATATATATATACATATATATACGCCTTGTTTTAATACTCAAAGCTATGCCATGTCATTTACTGTACATGCTGCACGTCTCTGGAATTCACTTCCTAATAACTTAAAGATGGCACAGTCGCTGAAATCTTTTAAAGCAGGTATCATAAAATTTTATTTTGAAAATCCCTCTTCATTGAGCCAATTGTGAATATATGTATTTATTATGTATACATGTATGTGTATGTAGGAGTGTATATATGTATGTGTATGTATGTATATATATATGTATATATATATGTATATGTATGTGTGTATATGTGTATATATGTATGTGTATGTGTATAAGTTTTTATTTATTAATGTTATATTATTATTAATTTACTTTTATTATTTACATATGTAGGTATATAGAGCTGTTTTTATTGTGTTATATATTCAATTTTTTTTTTTTACTGGGTATTATTTAGTTTATCTTTAATTGTACGGTTATTACCCTTATACATTCTACAGTTTTCTTTCAGCTTCTCAAAGGGTGACTGTAAGAGATCCCTTTATGGGATAAGTCCGCCAATGTATACTAAATCATTTACTAGTATTTAATCTGACTTATGTACAATAAAGATTTTTACAATTACAATACAATATATTCCTCTGAATATATTATACATTTATACCCAGTCCAGCCATATTGGGGGAAAGAGATTGTTAGCAACAGAATTTGATAGCTCCATTGCTAACAATATGCGCTATCAGGTCGACTTCCTCGTGGTTCCCCCTGGAAACCATCCTGATTAATTTATTGTTAGTTTCGTCACGATGGGCTAACTGACTTGCTTCATCCTCTGTCATCCCTCACTGGTATCTCGCCAGTGTATACCGATAGCGCAGGCGGGGTTACCATTGCATTATCATTCATTTAAAAAAAATACGCTCACTTAGGAGTTATTATAGTAGTTCTTTGGAACACAGAGGGAGACTTTGTACAAAAGTCGATTGCTTGGGTACCTCTGTCCCATTAGTGTTTCAACTGTGAAGCAGTTGTGTTTGCATGGCTGTGTTTCGGTTTGAAGGGTGGGATATGGCGTGA